TTTTTTTTTAGGGGGGAGGGGAAGAACCATTAATGATTCTGGTTTGTTATCATCATCTCAGAACTTTTGGCACGTGTTCTCTTAAAGGTGGAACAGGATTAGCAGGAGAAAGTTGTAACGTACCAGGATTATAGCGATCATTGCATGTGTACACGTCACCATGGTGGCAAGAACAGCCATTACTACACCAACGGTCATTAGTAACAACAGTGTCTTTTACAGGGTTATAAAATATGTTGAACAAAAAACAAGACTTATCAATGAAATAAATTCTCAGTTACGTGAAACAAAAGATTTTATCAATTTTTAAGAAAACTCCCCCATCCCCCCTAATATATCTTTATTAGGGCTGTTTTCACTTCAGTGTTGAAAGTAATTCCCATCTACGTTCGTTTCACATTACTATATTTAAGAAATAGTTTCATAAACTTGGGCCACTTCCTCATCCAATTGGATGAAAAAAACACACCGATTGTGACTCAATCATACCTGTTTTCTCAGGCTTCAGGCTGGCTACAATAGTGGAAAGGGAACTTAAGGAGAAAGGGCTATGAACCTGAGGAGTGTCAGCATCAGCTGTAGAGGACAGGGAGCCTACAGCCTACAGAGCCTACAGCCCATTGAGCCTACAACCCAGAGAACCTACAGCCCATAGAGCTTACGGCCCAGAGAGCCTACAGCCCAGAGTCCCTAGAGCCCAGAGAACCTACAGCCCAGAGAACCTACAGCCCAGAGAGCCTACAGCCCAGAGAGAGTACAGCCCAGAGAGCCTACAGCCTGATTCTCCACTAGGAAAATGGGCAAATGATGATCATGATAATCAAACTGATTGCAAGTATTTGCTTTAATAATCCCTACACTGGATTATTGAGAAAGTCCTTTGTGGTTGGCCAGTGATTACTTTGGCACTGGTTTCACAAAACTCCAACTGAAAAGTTTGATGAGCATAATAAGCCTTGTATTGTACCATACAGTCTTGACAGTTGCCATGCAATGTTTAGTTAGTGTATGATGATGAGGAGCAGGTCATTTCTATTAGAAAGCTCATGATGATTAAGATAGAGATACAGTACTTTCTCAGCTGTCACCTTTCATTGTAAAGCCAGGCAAGGAACTCTCTACTTGTCCAGTAGGTGTCTGGTCCCACAACTCCATCAGACCATATGTATTCTGGCTTGTATGTGTTGACTAAATCATAGAGCTCAGGTAAGAGCACCTCCTAAAAATGTTATAAAACATTTCCTATGATATTTGAGAAAAAAAAATTAGCAGCTGCAGCCAGTGGCTAGTACACAGAAAAATGTATCCATGCGCAGTCGGATAGTACAAGTTATACAGTAACTCACTTGATCAACAGAAAAATATTTTTAGTGTAAATGTCTTTGATTTTGTAACTTGACTGCATAACCATTATTGATTTATGATACATGATCGCTTTACTACCTGAGTGTACTTTTAGTTGTGGTCATATGATCAACCTTTTAAGACCAATTGTGGTACTTTTCTATATAATAATTTGTATTAAAGTTCATTTGTCTAAGTATACATATTTCAGGTTCAGTTTGCAAGCCATTGGCATTGGGGGGGGGGGGGGGGGG